TGGTGCCTCAGGAGACCGAGGAGTGATGTGGGAATTGGAAATTCAAGGAAAGGCATAAAATTAAACGGCAGTCAGACGATTCTCCCCATTCAATCCCAGCTCCAATGCAGCAAATCTGCATCCTGAGGAAGCAGATGGTGCTGTGGATGGAGATCTCACCACGTGGGGAGGAGGAGAGACACTTCTGACAGCTGAAGGCACCAGCCCAGGCAGCTATTTTGGGCCAAAGCATGCCATTCCCATCACACCCAGCACATTGCCCAGGAGAAGCCATTCTACTGATGCCTCAGGTTTAGCTTTATATTTTTCAGATTCTGTGCTGCTTTAGTGTGCAGGTCTGAGCTTCACATCAGGGGATGGTGAGCTCTGCACAGAGCAGGGAGACAAACAATTCCTGCTCCAGCTGGGCACCAAGGACAAATGATCCAAATCTCAGCCCAAGAGCACAAACCCCGTGGGCTGCAGAGAGAAAAACAAGCAGGATGGGAGTGCAGGGGCTGAGCTGGAATTGGACACTGAACTGCAATGTGCACATGGAGCAGAGCTGATCCCAGGGAGAGACCCCGTGAGCGCTCGTGCATTTTGGGGCCATTTGGGTTCATCTTGGCTGCAGCCCTGGCTGGGCTCTTGTGCCCATTCATCTGCCTTGCCCAAGGAAATCTAAATTAACCCAGAGCTGAATTATCTCAATCCTGCCTCAGAAGGCTTCACTTTTTGTGTTTTATCAAGAATTTGGTCAAGGGAAAGCATCAGTGCTGGAATGAACCTCTGGAATCACCAAGGCACTGAGTGAAATCTGGATTTTACCCTCTGCAGTCAGCTGAGGGCACAGCTAATTTTAGTCTCAGGGAAGTCACCAAAAAAGGCACCTGTAACCTCAGCTCCCCCCTCACCTCTGCTTTGGGACAAGCCTGGCCTAAGGATTTAATCCTGAATTTAAGCCTGTCATGTTCTGCATCCAAAAGTGCCTCAGAATGAAAATGTGAGGCATTCAAATGTATAAATCAATTTTGCAGCCCTTTGCTTAATGCAAATTAAACAGTCTGCACCACAGACATGAAACAGCTGCTAAACAGAGTAAAAATTAATGAAGAAGAAAATTAAGATTGCTTTGCTGCTGCTTTTTATCAATTTGTGCCCAGATCTGAGGAAGGTTTGTGAGAACACTGCCAGTTTGCAGAGCGATTCCAGATTGCTGAGCTCCTATTTCCATTTTCCTGGCGTGTCCTGGAGTTCTCTGGGAAAGTGGGGAGTTTGTGCTCCACAAACACTCCTGGTGTCTGCACTCTGCAGTGGTGCTGCTGGGTAAACCAAAGATCACTTCAGGGAGCAGCTCTGGGGGTCAGGAGCATTTTCAGCCTCACCTGCTGGGGGTTCTGCTGGTTCCTCGGTCATTTCCCAATTTTCAGGGAGTTCACACCTGGAAAATGAGAGGGAAAAACTGTTTGGATTAATCTCTGTCTCCCAAAATAGTCATGCTCTGGAAGATGTGGACTCCAATATTTTGGGGCTCATGCTGCCACCAAGCAAAGACTCCCAGGGACTTCAGCACCCAAATTTTTGTGGCAGTTCCAGAATTGGGGTAATTCAAGGCTCTGTAAGTTGGAAAACCCCAGAATTTTCTTCTGAAATACATCCCAGGTTAAACTTTTCCATGCAATTAACATTGGCACCTTTCCTCAATTGTACCACCAGGTAGTTTGGCTCTGATATTCAAAGTAAGAAGATGTAAAGGTTAATGAACAACATCCCATAGTTTACTTGGGAAACAAGATAAATTATTGTTTACTTAAAACAATGTTAATTTCGGGTATAATTTACATCCTATAAAATGAAAAATTATATTTAAAATGAAAATTCTATATTTATAATCAAGAATTACATTCCCTGAGTAAGGCAGGTGTGGTATTTCCACCCCAGGCACCAGCCTGTATTTAACCAGGATGTCTTCATATTTATAATTTATATAGAATAATTTCACTGCTAATTTATAGATTATCATTTCACTATTATGTATAATAATTCCACCATAGTGAAATGTATATATTTCATTGTATATGTTAGATATATTTCATTGTATGTATTATATATAATAAATATAATAATTTCACACACTGCACTGTGTTTTGGTGCACACCATTCCACAGCAGAATAATGTGTTTAATAAAAGATATTAAAACATCATTCAGAAATCTCCCTGTGCCTTTCCTTCCCACTGACACCAAGGTCACTTGATGGCACCAGGAAACAAACAAAAATCAGATTTTACACTTGAAGATGTCCTGGGATTGAGAATGCTGGAAAAGAGAAAGGAGCAACTTGTGTGGAAAATTGCTGTTTGCATTTCACATCTGCAAACATTCCTCTTCAGGGGAGATGCAGAACAGGAGTGCTGGGATGAGATCTCTCAGGGGGAGGCAGAATTTCCCTGCAATTCCTGGTGTTTGCTGCGAGGTAAAATCCTGGCAGTAATATCAGGAAATGTAGTTTATATCAGCAGAGATGAAAGCACTGCCAGGAGAACTCAGCCTCGTTTACTGCTACCCAAACTGATGTACAGAGCAGGATCTGAGATTGCCACCGAGTTATTCCTCTGGAGAGCTGGGCCTGTGTCACCCTGAATATCCCAAAATCCATTTTTACACCTATCTGGAAAGAAAAGCACAGGTTTTATTGCATTGCGTTGCAGTCCTGACATGAAAAACTCCACTTTTACAGTTGTTGTTGTTGGTGCTGATTTTTCTATTCTGATTTTCTCAGCAGAGGAAAAGGCAGGTGAATCCACAGGTTTTGGGGAATATTTTGCTTTAATATTTTTTAATCTTCAACGAGTCACATTATTGCGCACGTCTGATTTACGACAATAGAAGTATTTAAACCTGAAAATCCTGACAAAACATTTTTATCTGGGCAGCAGAATTCAGCAAACAGCAACAGCAACATCCCCCAAATTTTAGCATCCCAGAGAATATTATAGAACAGACACCCTCCAGATTTTGGGAGTATTTTTACAAGGAAATCTCCATCAAATTAAATGTGGTAATGATTTTTGGTGACCCATCAGTGTTGTGTCCTCACTGCTCATCCCCAGGGTGAAATAATGATAAATTCAGTTTGCAACTACAGGAAATTAAAGTTTTTCACTGTTGTTATTTATATTTATCTTTGTAAGTACATTGACAAAATGAGGCTTCTTCCAGTCAGAACTATTGAATTTTATTTAATGCAAGCAAGAAGTGACAATGATAAAAACGCTGGTATTATTCAGGCTAGCAAATAGGGAGAATTTCTCCATTATCTCACTCTCTATTTTTATTCTGGGTGCCACAAAAATTGCCTAGAAAAGCTGAATACTGCTTTGTGAAAATTGGGAAGATAATTCCCAAGTTTATTCTGTTTATAACCCACAACTCCTGTGAACTGGAGCGCTGAACAGACAATGAATTCCCATTTGCAATATCAGATTATTTGTTTCCGTAGCCAAAATATAAAAACAAAAGACGCCCTGATGGTTTCACGCTACCGGCGAGCAGGAGGAGGAGCTGTTGAGCAAGGAATGCTTTTCCCAGTTTTCCAAGCGGATAATTCTCCAGTTTATTCACAAACCTGGCTCAGTAATCGCTTTTCATTCCTCTCACAAGTGACCAAAAACTAAAATTGAATAGCAGCTGATACCCCGAATATTGGTGAGGTTTTTATTGCTGATTATTTTAAAATAATCTGTGGGTGCTGAAGTTCTGCTCCTCCCCTGGGAAGAGCTGCTGGAGTGCAGAACGAGCCCTGAAATTGGGATTTTTTTGGCTCGAGCTACTGGGCTGGCTCAATAATTATTGCATTTTTATCTTCTTGTTTTGTTTGTGTTAGGGTTGGGATTAAAGTGTTTGAGATGTATTTTGTGTTTGGCCTTGGATGTTTATTATTTCTTATTTATATTACAGTTTCATAGGCTGTGAGTTCTGTAGTGTTTTATCAATAAGTTAACTCTTTTAAGGATAAACTGTGTAATTGAGAAATGACACAAGTTTTTTCCAACAAAATGCTACCTTGACAAACTCTACTCTCGGTTTAAGAATTGACAAGATCCTGCTTTGTTTCCGTTTTGACTGCGAGCTTGTGAAGGGACCTGGGGAACACACGAGGGTCAATTTCATCCTTGGGAAGAATCCCAGCATAGCTTGTGTTGGAAGGGACTTTAAGGGGCATCTATCCTATGGGCAGGGACACTTCTCACTATCCCAGGTTGCTCCAATAACACTTTGATTAAATAACTTTGATTAAATAATTTTTAATTACACTTTTAAATATTTTTATTAAGTTTTTTATTAAGAATCATTTTAGCTCGATTGAAATCACTTTGAATAAATAATTTTAATTACGCTTTGATTAAATAGTTTTTATTTTCATTTTTTATCAATTAAAATTACTTCGATTAAATATTTTTTTCATTTTCCCGGCGCCTTCCCCTGCCGCTCCCAGCCTACAACTCCCAGCATGCCCCACACCCCGCCCGCACCGGCGCGCTCCCGCGGGGGCTGCCGGGATTTGTAGTTCAGCGGCGCGGCGGGGGCGGCGGCCGGGACGCTCCGCCCGGGTGGAAGGAGGGCGGGCCGGCGCCGGGCGCGGGGGACACGGGACGCAGGTACCGCGGGCGGCCCTGGCAGCCACCTCCCGGCCCGAGCCGCGGCGCGCAGCGGCGTTCAGGAGGCATCCGGCGGCGCAGGGCTCGGCGCATCCATCGGCG